ACGAGAATCTCCTTATCCTCATTCAGCGTTTTCAGGGCTTTTCTTTCACTGAAAGTGAGGTTGCTCTTCGGAGGCTTTGAGCGTTGTAAAATTCCCGAAGTCTCGGCCCTTATCTGTTCTGCGGTTTGAATGGGCAGCGAACGTATGCCACTCTCTACATTTGATATGGTGTCCTCGGAAGTATCTCTTCATCTTCAAGAAGGTTGGAATGATCTTCGTTTCACGGCATCGTAGCAAAAAAGCCAGTGAACACAGGCTCACTAAAAGTTCGCGCGATGCGATCTCTACACGCATGAGATCCGTTCCGAGCCACTTCTGAATCGTTACCGCAAATAAAATTATAATTTGCCAATACTACAAAAATAATTAAGTAAATAACATTCAAAGTAAGGCCAATCGCAGGGTCTTTTTTTCGGTCTGTTCTGTAATGCTGAGTGACACACAATACGCCTCCTAGAAGACTCTGATGCAAGTATCTCCAATATCTGTTCCTCTATATCTGTAATCCGAACACCTTTTGGTCATCCACTATCTGCTTCGATTTCTCGCGACAATCGCTCTACGCCTCTAGCCCTTTGTTCGAGGAAATTCTTACATATTCTTCCATATCGCTAACCGCATATCCGCATATTTGTGTTAAAAAATTGTAGAAGAGTAGGTACTTTTTTAACACAAAAATATTAAAGTTAAGTGGGCAATTTTTCTTTTAGAATGCTTAAGTTTTCCAATAGACCACCAATCAAACATGGGACCGTTTCAGAATAATACTTAATAACAAAGTTGGAATTCGCTTTTCAACTGTAAATATTTGCTAGAAATTTTAGGAAACATTTTTAAAATTTTGTCTCCAAGTGACCCCATGTGACGCCAATTTTGACCAAGTGGTTTAAATTTACCTTACCCTAAGAACGAGCACTAAATAGTTATCACAACTAAATTTGTGCCCAATGGGGAGCAATATCTTATGATTAGAGGATCAACGCATGTCTATGATAAATGATATTAACAAAACTAAATTGTCTTGCTTACATGAGATGTCCGAAAAATAGGTACCTCATCAAAAATACATTTTGAACCAAATTAATCACACTTACCTCTATACAATGATTACATACACTGCAATGTGAACACCTGGGCGGTCTATAAAACTTACAAGTTACACACCATTTCATTCGTACAGCAATTCCATTTA